TTATTATTTTCAGGAAAACAAATCTTTTAGTTAGTAAATTCCTGTAATTTTTGTAAATTTGCAGAATTTACCATTCATTTCTCTTCATCACCTATTTCTCTTCATAATGTAAATATCTCACAAGTCCCCAAGGACAACAAACCCCTAATATGTCTGATTATAGATTCCTCTCTTTTCATATTGACCACATATTAGTAACTGAAAGAAAACAGAAATGTCAATGAGTATTCACAGATCCTTTCCGTAGTTATTGAGGCTGTTCAGTGCTTGCCAGCTCAACTCTATTCACCACATCTCTGAGCCATAAAAGAGGGGCTGAGGCACAGGGCCAAAGCATAATTTGCTAGTGCAAGACGATAGTGCAAATTCTGCTACCCTACGCCTCAGAGCAGTTTGGCCACATGGAACGTGAGTACTGGCAACAGGCCTTACCCTACACTGACCCCCAAACTATTTCTGCAGATTATTTGGGAGAGTGCTAGTTAGTCAAAGGCAAAATTGTATGAGGGATCATTCTAAAACTTGCACAATACAGACAAATCACATTCCTGGGCCTGGGTACAATTTCTGGCAATTTTCTGGCACTGTTCAATCTACTATTATATATTCAGCCTTCAAATACTATGAACGAAAAGTAATCTGCCCAGTGACTGCTATCAATCTGCACATCAGTGGACCGTTTACTTTGCTACAAGCTGTGGGAAAAATTTCACTGTTTCTCTCTCCCCTGCAGGCTCAAGAAAGATTTAATAGTAGCTGCTGAAGGCAGGTTCTAGATGGCTTCAGTATTTTTTTAAAGTTCTGGGATCCTGCAGCACATTTAGCCATAAATTACTGGCTATTAATATATTAATCAATGTACTTAAAACTATGCTGCAAGACACTTAACCAGACAAGAGAGCCTTGGACACTCAGTGATTGCTCCACGGGCTTTTTCATCGTGTCAGTACTTCAGAGCACTTCCAGGATGACACTGAGCCCAGATTAATTGATTTAGAGGCATCAAGTCCTATGGACTTTCAGCATGAGTTAAGCACTGCTCAGTATATTTCTCCATCACTCATCTTTCTCAGCAGTTTACATCATAAGGGTTTGATCCTGTCTGCAATAAGCAGAACAGGGAGCAAAGCAGAACCTGAGCCTGCACTTCCAGGAAGGCTTCTTCATGGCTGCCATCTCACCCCTTCCTACTAACCGGAATATTTCTGAAAGGCTAATGCCTGGACTGGACTGTAACTAAATAGTTCTGTGCCAGCAGGGAGCATGTGAAGCTGTCCTTACCCTGAGGGAGCTCAGGTAAATCTTAGAAAGCATCAAATTCTTCTTTGTTGCATTTTTATTTCTAGTACTATGGCCAGAACTTTTGGGTCGAGGTCAGAACAAAATCTCCTCACATTCCTTAGCCTTTCTGCCTGCACCTCACTCCCTCACATGGGCAAGTGTGAACTGTGCAGTCCCTGTTTTTCTCCTCGATGCTCACAGTGGCAAGAAAGGCCTGACATGTTTACTCCTACTCAGTTCCTGCATCTCTGCCTACAGCCTCATCTATGGAGGAGGGTATAGTCAATACCATGATGAGATCTGCACCTACACCAACCTTTCTCATAAACATCTGCAAGGGCTGTGTGATCAAAGCCTAACAGGGACATTTTAGAAACTCACTTAGATAGCTAGGGTGAGAATGACTTTATATAGCTGTCCTAAATATAAGCACCTACGAAATGAAATCCAGTCCCCAGCACAATGGTTAACAAGAAGGCTGAAAATTGATGCAACCATGGTTTCTCTTCCTGGCTGCTCTCCTCTGTGCCCCTACTGTGGGGTCTGCCAGGTTTGTATGCGTGGGCCTGGAGCAAAGGCTCTTCACCCATGTATTGTTTATGTCTCCCCTTTCTTGATGAGGTCTCATGAATGTCAACTGAATAGATGTTCGTGTTTACCCACCAATTTAACTTTCTGTGACTTTCATTAAAAATGGAGAGAATTCAATTTCATCAGCATGCTTCTCTAATAAAAAATTATTCCCTTTCTACAAATTTATAATCAGGTCTAATTTATGGATAAGCCTTATTCTGCAATCATTTTTTACTCTCCCATGTCTTAAAGAAAAAAAAATCAATTACATCTACCGCTTGCAATGTTTTCCCTTCAGATTTATCTGAGATCTGACTTAGCCCCTTACATTTCTTCTTAACTACTGGCAAACAGTAGTTCTGTAGCTGAGGAACTTTGTGATTCCTCGCAGGCTATCATACATCTAAATACTTCATTCAAGCTCTACAGCTTTATTCAAATTTGCTTTGTACTAAAAATAAAAATCAAACTTGTGTCTGAAGAAAGATATATTAGGACACCCCTTCTTGCTTCAGAAAGGCCCACCGCACTTTACACCAACTGATCTTTAAAAATATTTTCAAATTCAGAGACAGCAGAAGAGGGAATTATTTCTATATAAAGCACAATTTCAAGTTCTGCCTTACAACTTCATGTATTTTAGTTTTGGGTATTGGCTAACTCATAAACAACAAGGGCCTCTACATCAAACTTATGTCTGAATAACTATGTGTTATACTGGTTGGAACAATCTCCTTCACAAAAATGTAACAGTGTACTAGCTGCAGAGCTAATTAAAAATACCACTTCTGAAAGCCTTAAACTTATTTTACCCTTGAAAAAAATCCAACAAAATTCAAGACAGCATTTAATTCAAGAATCAACAGCAAGGGATGAACAACAAATCTGGCCCCATTTTATAGATAATCTGGGCCCATTTAATGAATGCACTTCAGTTATTACAGTACAGTAATACAATCAGATATCTTAAAGCTTGTGAGCAGAGCCGGTAGCTATTACCACACCACTCACCTGCCTCAAAGAAAGCTGAAGGCAACATCTCATGGAGGGATTCCCTTTGCAAGGGAAGAAGGAACTGATGAGGAGGAGCTACATTCTAGCTTGCTTCACCTACTGCGTGCACCCCTGGGGAGGCTTACACATGTTAGTACAATGGTCTCCTCAATCTTTGTCCTAATGCATTACTGTCAACCTTCAAAATTTTTCACAGATGAACAGTGCAGCCACATGAAACAGAATTGTTTATAATTTTATTATTCAAGAAAAGCAAGGCATTATGATTGCCTAGATCGGGAACTAATGAATTAGGGCATGCACTAAGGCTGTGCAAATGTGGAGAAGATTTGGGCCACAATTATAAAATTCTCTGCCAACTGTTGGTTCTCTGCTGATTCCCTTTCACCTCTCTCTCACGCTGCTTGGTGTAGAATACATGGCCACCCTTCACTGATCATGACTCTAAGCTCAGAAAGAAGCATATAATTTCTTCCCTTGATCTCCTCAGATGCTTACACTGCCTGATAAAGAAGCTACACGATAAGCATCTAAAGCTACTTTCCACCTCCTTGGATGCAGCAAGAAAATTTCCCCAGAAAGTGTTGGCTTGTGGTGCCCAAGTGTCTTTTTCAGAACCTCAACAGCTCAATAGGCGTTCACCCAGACTGAAGCAGGTATCCCCAGGAGAAATTCCTTTTGGATCTGCCCTACCAGCAGGAGATCTGGAGGCCTGAATGCTTCAGGGGGCTGCCTGAGGCATTCAAGTTGCCAAGCAATCTTACTGTTCCTATTAGCCATAAAACTGCAGAAAAGTTCACTGTCACTGAGCAGCCAGAACACTCACAGAGCTGCTGGGTTTATGGGATATCTGCCAAAACATATTGCTTAGATTCAATTCAAGATGGAAGCATGTTTTTCAAGAAACTGTGTCGTCCTGAAAGGGAAGCCCTGTCTTCTGCACAGATCTACGCATGCAGAGAATGGACAGAGGGCTGTCAAAGGGCTTACAAAGCTTAGCGAAAGCACTGAAATGATAAGATTGGACAAAATACTCATATTAAAAAAAACATAGCCATGATTTAGGGAACAGAGTTTTAACTTGTAACCATATACATATGTATATATAGACATAGATAAATACACACACAGAGGTATGTTTTACTATAGTAATATACTTATGTAATATGTATATTGCCATAGTAATCCTTCAGGTCCACACTTGAACAAATGCCAAAAGCTCCAAGTCTTCAATAATAAAATATGCAGTACTGTTATACATAATTAATACAATTAAAGATGTATGAAAGCTTATTTCTAAATTTACTTGTTGATACTGGAAAGAACTGAGCCTCTCAGTCATTATCCTTCCTCCTCTCTATTGTTTCTTACCTCGACTTCTTTCCTCCTATTCCAACTGCACTTTCTTTTCCTCATGTGTTCTCCTATATCCTTCCCCTTTTTCTTCCACAAAGCCTCTGCAAAGCTCAAAAGCCTTTGAATTTGGATGTCCGTTTTATGAAGGGTGAGAGGTGACTGAAACCAAGATCTTTTTTTTCCCCAAATGTCTAAGATACGGCAATGATTTATAACCCAAAGTAGTTTCTTGAAAACATATATTCTACTTGTAATCTTTTTTATAGAATCAGAAAGCAACTTTAAATGAAGGAGAAGCTCAAGATTCCAAGAACAATCTTTATGGCCTACTTGAGTTACCATCTAATTTGGTGATCAGTCCTGAACCTTATTTGCTGGAGGCTCTACACTCAAAAGCTAGCACAGTTTTAATGCCAGCAATCTGAGTTTAAATAAAGACTAGGCCAGATTTCTCATGTCTTGCCAGATTTCTTATGTCTTTTTTCTCTTATAAGTTTACTTATTAAAATTATATTTTTACAGTCAAAGTCTCACAAGTGAAAAAAGACATAGCTGTTAATACTGTTGATGATAAACTGATTGACATCACTGGTGAATCCTACCCAAATCCACTTATATTATAAAGGTAAATTTGAGCTGTAGTTTATTCAAAAACCAAAACAAAACCCAAACCCACCAACTGAACCCCCCCCCCTCAAACAAACTGTTGCAAGATATACCCTTGAAGATGAGTTATTTTATTTTCACATGCTTCTCTCATTTCAGTTGACTCTTACCTGGACAAGGCAAAATGTTGCATTCCTGGTACTCTAGAGATGGGCCGAGGCAAGGAAGTCCCCCATACTTGGGCTCAGGATTGCTGCAGACCCGTTTGCGATTCCGTATGCCTCTACTGCAGTCACGACTGCACTGAGACCATGGAGACCACGGTGACCAGGCACCATTGATGGTATGAGCAGAGTATCGTCCAGAACGCAAGAAATCCCCTGACAATCCTAATAAAATAAGGATTGGAAAAAACAATACTGAATTAAAACAGTATCTCAAAACAATTTTTTCCTCTTCAAATTTACTCCTAGGCTTCTAATAGTAATATGACCAGGAGGGTTTTGTCCTTTAGTCTCACAGTCCAAACCCTAGTTTCATCTCAAGAATCTCTTCTGTAATAGAAATTTCATAATCACTTGCACAGAACTACAGTGAAGACTTGGATCCAAATCTTTAGTTAAAGCTTTACAGCTGCATTGGATTCAGTAATGACTAAAGTCAATTTACTCCACCTGAGGATGATAAATATTATCTCTCTCTTGCACAGGAATTGTCATGAGAAAATCTCCACATACATTACATAGGTATTATTGCCTCTGTGCCAAGAAGGTGGCACAGAAGACAGGACTGAGCTGCCTGTGACCACTCAGAGCCAGCTCCCCTGGTCCCACTGCAGGGCTTTGCTCACTTGATCTGCCCAGCCTGCCTCCACTAGTGCTTGCTGTGCCCAAAGGCTCATGGGTGTCCTAGAAAGCAATGCACTGTACTTATCTGAACCATAGTCAGACTTCAGACAGTGCACAGCAATAATTCCACAAAATCTAGTGAGACTGCCCTTTTGTGAAGAGCAATGTTCTGCCATTTAAAAAAGAGAGTTTATTTTCCACTGAGTTGAAGTGTTCTAAACCACATATAAGCTACGGAAAACAGCCTTTTGGAGACACACACGATAGAATACTTCCTAGTTAAAATAACCATCTGGCAAGTGGAAAACATCTTTTCCAAGTGAGTTTAGTACCGAGAAAAGGCATTAGATTAAACAGTGATGGAGACTGAAGTCCACTATTTATCAGTGAAAGGGGAACACACCGAATCTTGTTCACAGCATACAACCAATATGCCTGGATGTAGCCCCGGGTGAAGTTCTAATAATCTGTAGTTAATTTGAGTATCTCTGTCACTTTCAGGCTTGGTCCTGCATGGAAAAATACTCCCTCAACTGTACTGAGCACAACACCGAAATCACTCTTGAGCTGTAGCATTACCTCTAAGCATCACTACAAAGCATCTCCGGCAACACTACTGGGATTTCCTACTGTTTGCCAAAGCAGTTCACCTTCTGCGGCGCTAGCATCACTGGAAACTCTATGATTGATGGACCACTAACTACTGCTTTTATTCCAAGCACTTATTTAAGTAGTTGTGATGAGAGAAGGTCCCATGAATGGTACTTAAAACAACCGAGGATGTGGCTGCCTGCCTGTGCTAGAGCTTCAGTATTGCTAATATAAGAACAGATGAATGGTATCAACAGTGGAGAAACGCATGGGATTGTTTGCAGCTGAACTGCAGCACAAACTTTTATTCTTAAGAAATTGTTTTCTGCCCTACCCACAAGCACAGGCGCTGTGGGAGTATCAAATGGAGCTAACGAAACAGAAGATGTACTGAATCACGCACTGAAAACAGCTACAAGTAATACTGTGAAGGGACTGCCCAACAGGAGTCCTGGACTGAACAGGACCAGTAAGTACTCTAGATAACCAGAATGGAGGAGCCCCTCATTCGTGGTGTCCAGTATTGAAACAATTACGTCCTATTTCTACCTGTGCTTATGGCATTAGTAATACTGCTTAAGTTCTGCCCCGAGAAGTATATTCACAGTCATCCCAAAGTAGATGAGACTTTGCATATTTTTGTTCAACACTTGGTAACAACTGGCAATATTGGAATGATGATGCAGTGACACAGAAATATTTTTAATAAGAAACTGTTGAAATTGATAAGAAAACAGCAGAACAGCAATATAAAAATTACTAAAAATGGGTAAAACCTTTCAGTGATTATAGAGGGTAACTATTTCTCTTCTGCTGAGCCAGATTCTATTACACAGATATTAAAAGCAGCATTTCAAGAAACATGACATACATTCAAATCCAAAAAGGGAGCAAGTACAGAGAAACAGTATGGGAATTATTAATATAGGTCCACTTTCCAGCTCTGTAAAAGCCTTTTTTTGCAATTTTGTATCACTTTGGTCATGGAAATGCCCAGCTTATGCACACAGTGAGCTGTGAGACCAAAATAATACTATTTTTTTATACCAGAATTTCAAATTAAGTTTTCTTTTTTTAGTTATTAAATTAACAGTAGCACAAACAATGGAAAAAGTGTTAATCAGACCAGATTGCCAGTCATTTTCTTCATAAAACACTGCAGTGTGCATCACTTCATACCAATACTAGGATGTTCTGAAGACAGTTTTGCAGGACAGGTGTAGCTTTTTCAGTCCTAAGGGAAATGTGTGACCTTATTTGCCATCATGATATTAGATTTCTTGCAATTCAAATTGGGGAGTGGGGAGGGGAATCTTCTAAGGGAAAGCTCTGAGGTACTTTGACTCTGAAACAGAAGAATATTCTAAAGAATCTTTTCAGTGTGGAGTTTGGTCTGCAGCAAGTGTTCCCCTGTGTTTTCTCCTTTCCAAAGCATTAAAAAATTTATTACAAGGAGCAGCCTTTTCACAGTTTTACAGCAATTCATACAGTGTTCACAGAGGGGCTTTTAGAATTTTCTCTTCAGACAGAAACTGCACATTAAAAAATTAACATTATGACACTAGTGACGTTAAAAATAACAAGATCAGTTTACATTCTGGAAAGGCAGTACTATATATTCCTTGAACAACCTTATAGCCTTCTACAATGAGGTGACTAGGTTCATGGATGAGGGGAGAACAGTGGATGTTACTTATCTCAACTTTAGTAAGGGTTTTGACACTGTCTCCCATAACTTCCCAACAGACAACTCAACAAAGTATGGGCTAGATAAGTGGACAGTGCGATGGATCGAAAACTGCCTGAACAACCGGGCCCCGAGGGCTGTGATCAGTCATACAAAGTCCAGCTGCAGGAAAGTCACTAGTGATGTGTGCCAGGAGTCAGTACTGGGTCCAATCCTGTTTAACACCTTCATTAATGACCTGGACGAGTTTGCTGATGATACAAAACTGGGAAGAGTGGCTGATACACCAGAGGGTTGTGTCGCACTTTGACTAGGCAGAGAGGAACCTCATGGAGTTCAACAAGGGGAAATGCAAAGTCTTGCATCTGGGGAGGAACAACCCCACGCAACAGTAGTTTGAGGCCAACCATGTAAAAAGTAAGTGGTTATACAAAACCAAGTCCTATCTGTATCACAGTTTACAACAAATTCAATAGGAGAAGGTATAAATATAAAAGCATTGCAATCTTTCAGATCAAGTGGCATGAGACTATGAAAACTCCTACTTTTCCCATTAAACTGTGGTATTCTTGCTTGCCACCTCTGTTTGTGATTTGGATCACTTTCTGATTGCTCCACATCCACCTCCAAGAACAGAAACCAGATTGTGCCACCCAACAGAAAACAACATTAAGCCTTCTGTATTTCTCAGCTTATTGCCCCCAAGATGAAAATATCTGGCTAAAACAGAATGCAACGGCCAATGCCCTTGGCTGGTAACAACAAAAGTCTAGATGCTAAAGCAACACCTAAGCTCTCCTTATTTAAAGCCTATCTGCAGAAATAGTTGTGAAATCTGCAAAAGGAATGATCAGTCATAGCATCATCAGTGAACTAATAAACAGTTTTCCCAAGACAGACAGAACAGCTGTGAATCAAATCCAGATCCGGCCTTTATGACAGGGTCATCATTCAAATGTTTTAAACTAAATCATTCTCAGAAAGCTTATGGCTGACTTAAAGCCCTGTGAACAACAAGAATGTATGAATTCTGCCTGCAGTTTACCAACAGGCTTATTTTCAGTTGTTTAGAAGTTGCACTCAATTAATAAATTGCTGCACACTGAGGCTAGAAAAGGGAATTTAACTACTTAATCCCAGTACAACTTTAAACAGGCAGCTGTGCTTCCCTAAGGCAAAAATTTCCACAAGTCACAAGTACTGCAAAAACTTCATCAAAAGCAATCACAGGGATTTTGTGGACAAAATAACCACCAACTTCTAAGACCAGGGAAGACAAAAGATATGAACTGATATCTAAACAGAAGACTGTTCTCTCATTTTAAGTGCTTATGCTTTGTTCAATATGGGCAAAATTACAGAGAAATTAGCACTGCATCACTGTTGACTGACTTATTCCATTATACTTAGCAAGCATGTATAACAGAAAAAGAAAAGTCTAATTAAGTTACATGATTCTGATCTAAACCAAGATGATTTGATAATTTCTAAGTAATTTTTTAAAACTTTTTGGTTGAATTGCAATAGTCTTATAACTCCACAAGAAATCAATCCTGTTTGGAGACATGTTAACATAAAAGTCACCTGCCCTGACTAGTACAGGAGAAAAAAATCTGCCTTTGCAAAAGCCTGTAATGAGGCTTTGATTGGCCTAATTCTTCTTGAAGACTGCAACATTCCCAGCCAAGTTCAATTAATTTGCCTTAAAAGCAAGGCTTTAATAAAGCACATATATTTATAATAATTCTCTAGTCTAGCCTGTAGCTAAGGAATACAGCTCTAAGCAAGCGAGAAGTAGCAGTGACACCTGATAAATTATATTACTTCACTGATTTATGCCTTATGTCCTCCTGTTCAAACCTAACAAAGAAAATTCAATTATCCGAGCAGTCTAGGTTCATGACTTTGGGAAAAGATGATCTGGAGCCAAAATTCAAGGATCCTGAATCATTTCTAAATGACAGCATGCAACACTGTTTAAAGTGCAGCAGGTAACAAGAATAAGCAGAGACTGTTTCCGTGTCACTTTCTGAAGATATTCTGCAAGTATTTGACAACATAATTGAAGCATAAAACTTATATACCTTCAGGCCTATATATCTATAACTTATAAAAACCTTATAAACCTTCAAAACTTACTTAGTAAAATTTAAATGGTAAAATGCAATGACAAACATTAATGCAATGCAAAGATAACATATTAAAAAAAAAACAAACAGTAAGCAGATGGAGGATGTTATGCTACCACGAGAACTTTATTTCTTGTAATTAGCTTTTCTGTGTTTAAATATTTAATTCCAAAGTTCCACGGAAGAGTTGTTGTTTGTCAATCAAACTTGAATTTGTCATCAAATTCAGTTCTAACTTCCACAATTCATTTTGTTCTTATCTCAGAATACCACGGTTTAGCTTCAATAAGACAGTATAAGAGATAACATCTCAACATGTACTCCTCCTGACTACAGGACATTACTGATTACCAGCACCTGTTTTATTCCGTACTAAATTCTGAAGGCACTATAGATTTCCTGTGGGTAACACTAGGATTTAATCACTCTCTTCGCAAGAGATCGTGGCCACTAAAACAGTATTTCTGAAAAAATTACATCCTGCCTTCAAAAATAACTATTGTTTTAAGTTTGGCATAGAGAAAGCAGTGACAACCGGGAATCTAAGTTCAGGTTTCCAGGTGCCTTTTTCTCCTTTAAGGAATTTGTGACTTTTCTTCAGATTTTATTCTCCCTTCCCATCCCCTCCCCCCCCAAAAAAAGGGAAAAAAGCAAATAAAAGACTCTTTCAGACTATTTGACTGAAATTAGAAGGGTTGTCTTTGTTCAATTGTTTTCTGAAGGTATTTTGGGAGCTAACCTCGTCTAACTTTGGCCATGTCAAATTCAGGTGTCTTGTCTAAGCTCAACATTGCTGTTTCCTTTGTATACACCATGGAAGGAAAGTGGTACCTCTAGAGGGTGATTTGTGCCCATTATATCAGGTGCTTATCTTCAGATGGATCCCTCATTCCTGAGGGGTGCTAGCTGTCTTTGCAGACTACAATGGAGTCTAGAGTTAGGTGAGATAAATTCAACCTGGAAAAATCAGGTAACCTCATACCTTGTGAAATTTTTATCCCTGGATTAAACACTTATGTTTTCAACACAATTCATAGTGCTTATATATCAGATAATCCTACAGAGAGTCAGTATGCTTAATGAAGATATTTAATATGTTTCATAAGCACACATTAGAGCCTATAGAGATGTAATTTCTAGACTTCTAATGCTGGACTGTACAGACATTAGCATTAAGATGTGCAACAACGTACACAATCTCTCTCAGTTTATTTGAAATAGCTGTCCTTTCCCTATCTGAGCAGTACATGAAAACACAGAGGCAGAGAACAAAATTATTTTTCTTTCCTCTTAATCAAACTTCAAATCAGGAAAGCATGAATACAGTGTGCCAATGCTACTGCTTGGTTGATTGAGATAGAAATCTTACCACACTCAGGAGGAGTCTAGTGGGTTTCTGGCAAGAAGTTCTACCTCAAAGCTCAGACTGCAAAGAAAGTTTGCTTTGCTAGTGTCTGACAGTGAAACATGATTCTGTTTAACACGGCATGACTATAGTTGCACAGTGGGAGATTACAGGCAATGAGAAAATTTCTAACAAATGGCTCTCTTCTGCAAAGAACAGAGAACTGATCTTTGCAGAACACATCTTTGGTAATGAGGTATGCCAAGCATGCTGTACCAGTATTAATCTTTCTATAAAAGCCAGCAAATTGCTACAGTTCAACATGGAGATAATGAAAAGAATGTTTCACAGTATCCAGGCTGTGGTCAGGTGGAAGTAGGTTATGATGTTCCCTTGCTATTTAGCCATAAATTGTGAAAGTGTCCGCCAAAATTCATGGTTTCCCATTCTCATGAGACCCTTCTGTTCCAAAAGCTACAGCTACACTACATGACTCTTATTCATGTATTTTTTTCCCCATGAAATCAAGAAGCAGTAGAGGGGTGGCGTGTTGACCCAAATCCAAACCTGGGAGCAGGGAAGTGCTCCTGAATCCTGCAGTTTAGCAGCAGTCAGTAAGTTTCATCACATCAGCAAATCAAAACAGTGCCCTGCACGCCCCAAAATGTTCTACTCCATACTGTTCTGACATCCATAATAAGAAAAAGCCTAAGCAAACAGGATGAAAATAAAATGTGGCTAAAGGAGACATAACAGTAACTCTTTTCACCAGAAGCATATTGGTTAATGCAGCCACTTGGAATACCGACTGGGTTTGTTCTTTATTAAAGAATAATTAAAGACTCACTGGCCAGAAAGAGTCAAAGAATGAGCATGCATTAATGACAAAGTTATGAGGGCACTCACTAGGAAGAATGGACAGATGTATAACAGTTTCTGCCCTGTCGACTACTCAATAGGAATTATTTAAATATTCAGTAGTTTTGGGATTAGTCAGCAAAAATACTTCTCCCGGATGAACATTTCAATTACTATGCAACAGGGTCACTCCTATACATTGGTCCAATGATTAATTATTTCCAAATGAAGCAAAGCAGCAGCTTCAGCAAGTTGCAACAAATAAGCTACAACACCAGGAAATTCAGGAATCTGATGTCCAGAAGTGAAAGAAAAATCTTCAAGCTAATCAGGCAAAGAATGCACCTGAACCCACACCCTTGTCTCTTGCACTCTTCCTGGATACTTTATTTAACAAAACGTAGGCCCTGTTACTTCTGATAATATTCTGTAAGAAGGAGTCAGCTTACGCATCCAACTCCAGCAGAGGACTTATGATCATGACTTCAGAGCTGAGAAAGGTGTATCCATGCTTAATTTTCTTGCAGCAATGTGATCTAAGACAAACTGGCTCTTGCACAGGTTTGTCCTGCTGACCTGCTCTCTAAGTAGTGCGTTGGCTTTCATATACTCCATTCTTAAGTGCTGACATCTCAGCTGTCAGACTAGATTCTTCTGTAGGTCTACTTCTAGTTGTTGTGATAACTCTCCTAATTCTGTACTATCTGGTGGGAAAAATATTCTGTTTCTCATTTAATCTCATGAAATTTTAAAAAGGTGTCATAAGTGCTGGAAGACAGCAAAAAGCAAAAGTCTTATTTGGGACAAGAAAGGTAGGTCATACACCAATCCTAGCAGAGCAAAATCTTTGCTAAATGCTACTTTGAAACTTAATTCGGATGAAAACAGGAGAACAGCAGAAACACTTGTTATGAGAGTTGCACCATGCCAAAATCTGCCTTGCTATCCAGACCTAAAAAATAAACATTGGAGACTGTAGATTACCTGAAATGGGAATGACATAGAGTATGAAACTAAGCCTCATCTGGAGTACCACAGGTTTTGTTTTATTATTTCATGCAGTTCACTGCTATGTATTTCTTTAAAAAATTACTAAGTCCTGCCCCCTCCAAAGAGACACAGATGTCGTATGAATCAATGAAGGTTTTACACATGGGGGAAGCTTCTAGCATCTTCTCACAGAAGCCACCCCTGCAGCGCCCCCCACCCGCTACCAAAACCTTGTACCACATAAACCCAATACAGGCAGGAAATGCTTAACACTGATTTTCACAATAGTTGGTCTGTCTGAAAAAAATACTGAGAATTAGAAAGCCCAAGGACTCAGAAACCATTCACTCTTTGTGGCCTTAGATAAGCTAAACGCCTTCAGTTATACACTTTTCAGCTAGCCTGGGTGTTGTGAAGATACAAAAGGCTATGTAAGTGAAAAGCAGGTCTATAAATATTAAAATATAAGAATTAAAAATCAGTATTTCCTTAGATTATATAACTAAATATAATACTTAAAAAGAAACACTGATATATAATTAAAACTGGATAATTAATGAAATGTATTAATAAAATTAGAGTGGCTGTCAGAAGTTCTCGTTTTTATTTTTTTTATATATATATATATACACACATACATAACATTTATTCAAAAC